TCAAAGTCAAAATCGGAAAGACAAGATGCACCTTAATCAACCTGAAATCTCTTAAGAAATCTTCTGGACTCAACATGAACAACAAGATTCAAATTTTCAACACCAGTGTCAAATCAGTACTAATATGGGTCCAAAACTTGCAGTGAGTGTCACAAAAAGGATTTCCAGAAGGTGACAGACTTTCATCAACATCTGTCACCTTCACTGGCTCCACACTGAAGATCAAATGGCTGGCCAAAAAGGGTTAGCAACAAAAAAACTATGGGAACAAACTAACCACGGACCTATCACTCAACAAATATAGAGAAGAAAACGGAAATGGATTAGGCATACGCTGGGGAGACCGTCGAATGACGTCGCGTGCCACGCCATACCTCGAATGGAGTCCGAATAGAAGCCGACCAGTGGGTCATCCGAGAGTGACGTGGAGGAGATTGTGAGAAGAGGAGATGCGAGATTACAGGTAATCGTGTGGCCAGTTGAAGAGGAGAGCAGAAAACAGAACAAAGTGGAGATGTGTTGTTGAAGCCCTACATTCCGCTTGGAACTCAAAGAAACAGCAGTAATAATATATCCTACTCTCTCAGTCTATATTCTCAGACGAATGCATAACCCTTGTGTGTTGTTTAAAATAATCACCTTAGGTTAGCAAGCAATCATTTTAAAATTATACAACATGTATATATTATTTTAGTTGTCCGTATTTGAAAGGAAAAAAAATTGATAACACTATCAAGACTCATATTAAGTAACAAGTGTTTAAAAACTATTAGGCATTCAATTTTTCACGTGTTTCAATAGTCGTGTTGCATAAATTAACTTATATAACAGTTTAGTCGTCACTTGTGTTCATTTGAGGTAAAATCACAGACTACTAGATAGTAGTGTGATGATTTAGGCGAAACGATTATGTAAAAACATTTAATGTAAATCTTTGTATTCATCAACATGTGATTTATCCTGCATTAAGGTTAGATTTATCATTCAACGGTAGTTTGGAATTCTGATCATTTTACCTAATACTAAAGAAATGTCTGGTAGAGAAACAACGGAGAAAGTTTATTTTTGGCTATAAATGCTGAAATATGTGATATATGAATGCACTGACGAAGCAGTCCGATTTATAATTTAAACGTAATTTAGCATATAATGTGAAAAGCTGACCGTTCAAAGTACCCACCAAAACATTATATGATGCATATGGAGAGGGTTTGTACAGTAATATGCTTTGTAGACTTTTGTTCACTTTGTAAGTGACTCTGCATGATGTATCAACTGAAATACTATGAGAGGCGCTAATGAATAAACTGGAGCCTAATGTTTGCAGCCACTCTGCGTAGTGTCCTCAAAAAGGTTTTGAAAGGAGGTGCATAGAACAGTCTGTGTACTTAGCTCCACAGCAGCAGGTGGACTGATATAGTACATTTGGAGTGATTATACGCAGGAGATTGTCCTACGGATTGCTTAGATGACGTGGATGTATAGCGGATGCCAATCTTAGCGTTGCTGAAAGGAAGAACTACTCTTTAAGATATGTACCTCTAAATCTCCCCTAAAGTCCAGATTCATATACTCTATTTACTTTGGTACTGCAGTGCTTTCCACTCTTTTTAGATTCTGTTTCATAATCTCCTTCGAAAACCATGCTGGGTATCCATTTTAGGTCGGGATCCTTTCTAGAAACAACAGCTCTCCTTCCAAGCAGTCGGTGCTGAAGATTCTTCTGATACGGGGAGCAAGCGGAATGATAAAGCCATCTTACGGCTGACAGGTGTCCAGCTTCATAAGTTTGTTAATTGACCTTCCCATAACGGTTTTCTGTGAACATATCTTTTCATAGTTTGATAAGCTGTTCTTTTTAATTGAATATCCAGAAATGAAATCTTTGATTCATTTTCTAATTCTGTTGTGAATTAGAGTGGTGTTTGACAATGATTAAATTTCACACATTTATTCCCCTTAATGAATTTGAACAAGGCAAGAACTACAGTTTTAGCAGAATAAACTGGTACCATCTTTTATTTCGTTGCCTTCTTGTCAGCTCCTTACATGCCAAAGAAATTATTAAATATATCTATATATCGATAGATATCCTTTTCATGTTAATTCCAACTATATATACAAATTTGCATGCATCTGCGGGAAAGTTACATTGAAAGGACAGAAAGAAGGGCATATCTACGATTTTCTGAACATGTACCAAAAAGCTTATATCTAAAGGGAACAAATGCTTTAAACAGTGCCATCGTCAGGCATCTCATTGACACGGATCATGAGTTGGAAGTCACAAAATCGTTCAGAATTATCAATGGGCTAAAGAGCTCAATTCTCCTCAAGTTTGCTGAAGCCATCTCCATCAAGCGCCCGAAACCTGATTTATGCGTCCAGAAAGAAGCGGTTATTAGTCTTTCTTTGGCCTGGTAACTAGATATTTTCATCTCTCTTTCATCTGATTACGAAATTCTGAAAAGTTGCATTGTATATGATTATTACTGTTTGGAATGGTGTTTATTACTACATATATTTATGTATATATTATTACTGTATGCATATATTGATCGACTGATTTTTGTTCAAAATGAACTCTGTGCAAGTATGTTAAAATTGTTTTGTAGATATATTTAATAATGTCTTTGCCATGTAAGGAGCTGACAAGAAAGCAACAAAATAAAAGATGGTACCAGTTTATTCTGCTAAAACTGTAGTTCTTGCTTTCTTCAAATTATTAAATTCTTTTAAAAAACAAGTACTATAGGTGAAAATGCGTTGGTGGCACAGCGGTTAGGACGCTCACCAACCATGCATATGGTCTAGGGTTCCATCCCCGGCCACCAACGCACTCCTTTACCTTGCTGAACCAGAAATAATGCTGGTAAAGAGGAAAGGTTGGGCATGAGGCTAGCAGCCCCATCCTGTAAAATAAACACAGCTACAGAAACTTCAAGCTACTAGCTAAAGTCCCTATGTTCCACTGGGAAAGTGAAGGAAATAACAATAACAGATAAACATATGGAAGTGCTGTAGAGTCTCCACTTATCCCACTTTCGTCAGACTAATTTATAGTCACTTTGAAAAACTTAATCTTCAAATCAAAAATCGACAAATTTCATTGAACATTCTATAACTTGTCCTACCATAAAAACTACTATAATTTATATCAGTGCTGAAAAGTTAGTGAAGGAATATATATATATATATATACATGTGTTTGGGAATATTGTCTGAATAACACCTTTGATTTGTGTAAAATGTATCCTACAAACCGACCATTACGTTCAACAGCTCAGTCACATGGACTAAAGAAATGAAAAATTGCTGTCAGTAGTGGAAAACTTCCACTGTTGCACCCCAAGAGACGACTTTGTTGGGTAAACTTCCAAAAGTGTCATCAATCGAAAATATGCAGCACGATAAATTTATTGTTAACATTGCCAATAAGCGAAATCTTCGAGTAGATAAGGCATAAGATAAGAAGAGCTGAAAGGTAGCTCAAATATTTATTTATTTATTTGATTTTTGATTACAACTTGATTCCACACCGTATTTTTGGCACAAGTATGGAATTTTCAGTGTGGATATCGGTAGCCCAAATTTCGCAGGCCGACCATAGATATCAGGTGCGCGTCGGCGTGGGCTCGAACCCCGGACCATGTGCACGGTCGGCGAGAGTCCTAACCACTGTGCCACCGACGCACAGTGACAATCAACGCCTTCTAAAGCCGCTGTCTTAAGTCTCACAGATACTTATTAATATAAATATAGGTTTTTAGTTTGCTAACCACTTCTTCTGAACATATAATTGTTAAGCACAATTTCGATATTTCCTGAGTTGCATAAGCAGTCATTAAAAACTTTGGGATAGAAAGCTTTGTGTAGTAGATTACCCACAAGATATTTGACGCTTTTTATAAATACCCAGTGGTATATCTCTAAATAGTCTAGAAAAATTCACACTTAGGCCAGTATTTTCACACCGTCAAAAATGTGAGAATTTTATTTGTAATCCAAAAACTAAGAATGGGAATCATGGTTGCATCCAGTTCATGATCTTTAGAAGTGATTTTAAACATTTTATTCACTCCGTCAGTCTTTTCTAGTGTAAAGTTCCATTCTCTGTAAATCATCAATTGCCTAAAACGTTAGACTGGTAAGTAATTAAGCTTTCCTACATAATCCTGCATGGTTTTTTCTAAGGAACATTGTCTCAACTACAGGAGGAACGGACGAGGATGTCAAATCGAGAATCAAGAAGACGAGAAACACATTCATCAACCTGAAACCAATCTGGAGATCTTGGTCACTCAACATCAACAACAAAATTCGGATTTTCAATACAAACGTCAAGTCAGTCAGTTCTTCTATACGAATCAGAAACTTGGAGGGCGGATCACAAAGAATATTTCCAACAGCCTGTTGCAGACTTTCATCAACAACTGTCTTCGCTCTATACAGAAGTTCAGATGGCCAGGCCGGAAAGAATCACCAACTATGGGAACAAACAAAACAAGAACCAATCGCCCAACAAATATGCAGGAGAAAGTGGAGATGGACGGAGATAGACATTCGCTGGTGAAGCGGATGGGTGGCATCGCGCGTCAGGCCATCACTCGAGTGAAACCCGAAAGGCGGGAAGCGGCGAGTGGGACGTCAGTGCAAGGGTGACATTTAGGAGATCGTGTGAAGAGGAGTAGAAGCAGTATGGACTAACATGGATGAAGGTGAAAAGTACAGCAGAAGGAAGACAGAAGCAAGTGGAGACGTGCAGTTGAAGTCCTATGTTGCACTAGGAACCCAAGGGAACAATAATAATAATACATGGTCTACTACATACATGCTTCTACTACTCTTTTTTATTATCTGAACATAGTTAGATTCTGATATCTGAAGGTGAGTAAAAAAGAATTTTATCTAAAATTACCCTAGTGGGCATAAACAATGTGCACAAACCGGCTAAATAACCCAAACTTCATTCAAACAGGTGACTTTTCAAAGAATGTATATGCACAAACATAATCATGTATTTTTGATAAGTATATAGCGACTACAATGATTAGAATTGTAGAGAACAATGAAAACACCATAAATATGCTAGGAATATTCTAATTCATTTAAGGATGAAAAAGAAATATATATGTATTTATACATTTCTCAAATTTTGTCTAGTTTATAAAGTTCGATTCTTTCATAGTAACATAATACATCTTTATAGATGCCTGAATTGTTAGCATACACTTATATTTCATTCACCCGCCTTCTCTGTCGTCTGTAGAGTATATTGTAGTTCATCGAACGGAATTGTTTATAAGTTCTTTAGATGTTTGCATACATATAAATCCAATCACGAAGTTATTTCTGTCATAAAAATATTTTGTAATTTAAAATTAAAATAAGCACGTAGATAAAATATCTGAAAAAAAAAACAGTTAATCAAAGTAAGAAGTTATCTAGAAAATACATCCCATCAGTTTGTTTTCTCTGCTACTGTGACGCGCCAGATTTAGACTTCGTCCTGAGTAAGCGTTTTACATGATATCAATTATCCGGTTTCGGGATATACACTCTCTACAATAGTTGTTAAACTATAAGAGTTGGTCCGGTTTTCAACAACAAGTTATGAAAATCGTGAAAGAGGCGTAAAAAGTATTTTAAAAACGTTGAGAAAATGTTTTTGTCAAAGCAACTAAAAAGAAAATTAAAATAAATTTGAAACATCAAAACTGAAAAACAAGTAGGTATCAAAATTTTTATTATTAATATAACTACTAAAAATGAAACATCTCTTCGTGATGAGTAGATGTTAAGGGAGTTTTTCACCGACCCATATACCACCATCACTTCCCGCAGTCTTCTGAGCGTCACCACAAACCTTGAATAAAATTAGGAAAAGAAGTAATTATTAGTAAGCCATACTTATATTTATTAACTTGGCGAATAATTAATTTGTTAGATATTGAGTTTTAATGTATAAAAGTTTAATTTCACAGAAATCTTGATTGATATTTTTATGACATGACGTGGTATTATTACAATACCTTAAAATAACAACATAGTTTGAGAAGAAACGCACACTAATGTAGATCTTTACAAATAATCTACTTCCAGAGCAATGTTATGAAAAGATATAGCGAGTAAACTATGCTACCGATGAGATCTGTACATTGGTAGTAGTCAGGCAAGGCTGTCTAGTATCGCCAATGATTTTCCTGATTACAGTAGATTTGAAAATGCGACAGACAACGGCCAATGAGGAAACAGGCATTAAATGGACTCACACAAAAAAGAACTTGGAGGATCTGGACTTCGCCGATGATACATGTCTGATTTCCAACAAACTGGAAGATATGTAAGTGAAAAGTAACAAGCTGGCAGAAGAAGCATCAAAGATAGGACTTAACGTGAACATAGATAAAACAGATGTGGTGATGAAGATTCCTGGTCAACACCAATAGCAACAACAAAAACAAACAACAATCAGCCAGCGTAAATGGGAGGAACCTGAAAGAAACAACCTCCTTCACCTACCCACCTACCTGGGAAGCATCTTTTCAACGACAGGCGGACGGAACTGACGAGGATATCAAAGCCAGAATCGGAAAAGCAAGACAAGCTTTCACTACTCTTAAGTCTGTGTGGAAGTCAACAGCACTCAGCATCAAAAATAAATCCGGATTTTCAACTCCAATGTGAAGTCAGTCAGTGCTACTATACGGATCAGAGACTTAGCCAGCGCGTCGTCGTTAAGAGCATCTCAAACAAACTCCAGGCCTTCATCAACAGTTGTCTTCGCTCAATAGTCAAGATCAGATGGCCGGCCAGAAAAGATCAGCAACAGGATGGGATCTCTGGCAATGAGCGAACCAACCCAGTAGGAACCAATTGTGCAACAAATAAGCAGGAAGAAATGGAGATGGATTGGCCATACTCTGAGGAAACCATCAAGTGACATCACTAGACAAGCCATTGCTCGAGTGAAACCCGAAAGGGAAGCAGCGAGTTGGTCGTCAGTGCAAGGGTGACTTGGAAGAGGTCATGTGAAGAGGAGATGAAAGCGTGTGGGCAGATTTAGAGCGGGGTGAAAAAGTTGGCAGAAAACCGAAGGCAATGGAGACGTTTGGCTGAAGCCCTATGTTCCTCTGGGAATTAAAGGATATAATAATAATAAATAGTAGTAGTCACAGTATTGTGGTGTTATGTAGAAAATGTGTGTCAAGTACTGATTTGGAATAAAGCTTACCTTATCTTATCTAAAAAAAATGTAATATTAATCTCACATATTCCTACAGTTCAATACTGAATTAACAACAGAATACTACGTATATTCGAACATTCTATTTCATGTCGTTTGGTGTAAACCGAAATCACCCGCTCAGTGTTTGGTTGACGAATATAAACTGCAGATACATAATAAGTAGTTTGATCAATGTAAAATGTACCTTGGCTTCCGTGTCTTGCTTTGTGTTGTTACAGTAGTGGCCATGTTATACTGATGTGGTATCTGCTTTATTTGTTGTAGTCGAATTTCATCACACATTTGAAATCCATAATGCTGCTTCAGTTACAAATGCCTTGTGGCGAAATCCCATTTATGCCTCTGACCATTAAAATGCGGTATAATATACTGAATTCAAAATTTAGCTAAACTTGAAATTCATAATAACTCTGTTTTCCTTTGAAAGAAGCTGCAAATATATCAATTATTTATTTGTCTAGCATCTTGTGCATACCACAAATCTGATAATAGTACTAAAAAGCTGATGTGAATCACATTCTAGAGGTGTCGTAATGTCTCGTAATTCTGGAGATTTTGTTTACTGATATTGCCTGGAGAGAGGTTCAGTAGAAGTCAGCTACTCAAGATACTTTTTTATTTAATAAACAATAAATACAAAAGCGTTGGTGGTATAGCGGTAAGGACGCTCGCCGACTATGCACATGGGCGCGGGGTTCAATCCCCGGCCACCGACGCACTCCTTTACCTCGCTGAGTCAGAAACAATGCTAGTAAAGGGGAAAGGTTGGACATGAGGCTAGCAACCCTATCCTGTAAAATTAAATACAGCTACAGAAACTTCAAGCTACTAGCTTGAGGCTCTATGTTCCACTGGGAACGTGAAGGAAATAACAACATGTAATGTAGAGGGAATACTAGATATGATATCACCGTGATTGTCTGCAATAAAGGCGGTATTACTAGTATTAAGTCGTATTGGCCAGTGGAACAAGTGGTGATTTTAATAGGCTTTACGCTCATTCGACTAAATTTTAAAAACAGAATGAACGGTTCCTTATTTGGCATGTATTCTGTGTGAAAAAAGAAGTGTTAGGTATGAAATTACTAAATTAGATTTATGACAATAAACAAATGCCTAATTCTTTTGTTATTATCATTAATATACTGCTATTTTTACACATGCTGTCTTTAGAATTATTTAATTTCTTCATCCATTCATTATTATCATAAATATAAAAACCTCTTCAATTATTTCTACGTCATGTAATGCAACGAGAACACTAGCTACGATATCACCGTGATTGTTTGAAATAAAGGCGGTATTACTAGTATTAAATTGTATTGTTTGTAAATACCCATTAAAAGCTGTGTTTCTGAAATTGTGGTTTTAGAGAGTGAAGCTTAAACTACTTCTTAAAGGTATTAGACTTGATCAAAAAGAAAAACAATGAATAAAAGTTCTAATGCTTTAGATCACTATTAAACAATACGTGTCAATGTAAATTCCCTTTAGAAAGCCTATTTATTATTATTATTATTATTATTATTGTATCCTTTAGTTCCCAGAGGAACATAGGGCTTCAGCTGCGCACCTCCATTGACTTCGGTTTCCTGACAACTTTTTCACCCTGCTCCACGTCTGTCCACATGCTTTCATCTCCTCCTCGCATGACCTCCTCCAAGTCACCCTTGCACTGACGACCAACTCGCCGCCTCCCTTTCGGGTTCCACTCGAGGGCTTGTCTAGTGATGTCACTCGATGGTTTCCTCAGCATATGGCCAATCCATCTCCATTTCTTTCTGCCTATTTGTTTCACAATCGGTTCCTGCTGTGTTGGTTCGCTCATTGCCAGAGACTCCACCCTGTTGCTGATCTTTTCTGGCCGGCCATCTGATCTTGAGTGAAGTATTAAGCGAAGACAACTGTTAATGAAGGTCTCAAGTTTGTTTGAGATGCTCTTTACGACGCGCTGGCCAAGTCTCTGATCCGTATAGTAGCACTGACTGACTTCACATTGGAGTTGAAAATCCGGATCTTATTTTTGATGCTGAGTGCTGTTGACCTCCACACAGATTTGAGAGTAATGAAAGCTTGTCTTGCTTTTCCGATTCTGGCTTTGATGTCCTCGTCAGTTCCGCCTGTAGTTGTGACGATACTTCCCAGGTAGGTGAAGGAGGTTGTTTCTTTCAGGTTCTTCCCATTTATGCTTATTGTGGTCTGTTGGTGTTGTTGATGTTGGCTAGGAATCTTCATTATCTCTGTTTTATCTATGTTCACGTTAAGTCCTATCTTTGATGCTTCTTCTGCCAACTTGTTACTTTTCACTTGCATATCTTCCAGTTTATGGGAAATCAGACATATATCATCGGCGAAATCCAGATCCTCCAAGTCTTTTGTGTCAGTCCATTTTATGCCTGTTCCCTCGTTGGTTGCCGTTGTCTGTCGCATTATCCAATCAATTGCAATCAGGAAGATCATTGGTGATAGTAGACAGCCTTGCCTCACTCCCGTCCTCACTTCGAAGGCTTCCGTAAGTTTCCCGTTGTGGATTACTTGGCATGCAGCATTGTCGTATAACTATTTAGCAATGATAAATCGCACAGTCTTATACAGTAATATTAGCTGATGACGTTACTATATAACACTGTGTAAAATTTCAGAATAAAATCTTATCTATAATGGAGTTATACTCTACCACAATGCCCGAGATTTATACTTATATAAAGATAATACTGATTGAAATTGTACAAGCATCAACTTTCTAACAAAATGACTCAGCAGTGCTAAATCAAGCGTCTTTTCCGAATTTAATATTGTTTTTACTGAGTAACACAATCAGTTATCAAGAACGTGACTAACTTATTAAGATTTATTTGGATCTCTATGTTGTGCTATAAGTTAATTATTTTCTTTTTTTAATTGAACAGTCACGCACACACACACACACTAACATACAATGATACCTATCATCTTGAAGCAAGACGGAAACTTGTTGATGTGATCGTCAAATTTTTAAACTTTTCAAGTGTCACGTCGAACAATTAGTTAGAGAGAGAGATTTTCACTGACTTTTCACAAGATTTCAACACTTAAACTTAAAGATATGCTTGGAAATGTAAGTGAAAGCATATATTTCATAAAATCCATAAGAGCAGTAAAAAAACGTTTGAATAGTTTAACAAAAAAAAACAATTAATAGTTGTAAATGATTCATTGAATTGCATAATCTATTTAGTTAAATAGATGAATCGATTCGTTGAACAAATATTTGAAACAATGACAATCTATTAGTTGATTACAAAACAAAAACACTGTTATGAAATTTCGATGAAGATATAATATACACATAGAAGATGATAACGTGATTGGTAACCATTTATAGGCCGATTTGCATATAAGATAGAAAGAATTTCAAGTATTGGTTTTGTAGGGATTTTGTTTGATTACATAGAGGATTTCATCATGAGCTAAAGGGCCCAAAACTACGACGAAACAGATGTCCGGTACTCCCAGGTTTCCCAGTGGTTCTCTAACTGATGTGTCAGCTCGAGGTGAAATCCTCCATGTAATCAAACAGAAAGATTTATCAGTCATTTTTGATGTAATATGATGAGCATTACACTAAATGACAGAGAACTAATTTATACTTAAATCACTCTTAGATTTATTTGCAACATTTCAACTCTGAATAGAGCAAATGTTCACAATTAAGGATCAATTTTATTCTTCAAGTAAACTTTTTAAATATAAAATACTACCATTTCCATTTCCTTAACTCTAACGAAATGCATTCACTGTAACAGGTGTAAAACTACATCTTGTTGCATTTTATTTCTCTATCATATTGCATAAGTTACACTATACTTAGAATGCACAGTGTAAAACGTCTATCATCTAAAACCAGTTATGTCTTATTATTATTACCTCTGGGATCAAGAAAACAGAAAGGTGAGAAGGCCAGAGTCCTTAAGAGATTTAAAATAAGACATACGATGAGCCTATCTACTTTCACTAATAATCAGCAGGTCGATTTAAATCTCAGAGTGTGTAATAACATGAAATTATTTCAAACAAAAGTCCAGGAAATTAAAAACATCTGACATAAAACCGAAAAAAAATAATCATCTTGTATTACCCTATTTCGAAGAACTTTTAGACGGAATGGCATCCTTGACAGTAATATGATCTCGTAACAATGTGACCCGAATGGGGGCTCGTATATAAACAGATCAACAAAGCTCAAGATCTATACTAAGCATAGATGCATAAAACGGCTATTACTCGATGAAAATAAAAATATTTGGTCGGACTCGTTATGAACTGGCAAACGATTAGGATGAAGCAATTTTCAGGTACCTATCAAAATAAACGGAAACGGAGTCATATCTGTCTCTAACAGCTGCTTAGAAGAAATCAGCTCTGATTATATTATTACAAATCCAGGCAAATAAAATACTTAACTGAATTCTAGCGACGGCGACAAGTGTACACAACGCTGAAGAGAAGTCAGATAATTAAGCTTAAAACTGAAACCGAATTCTAGTAAATATGTTGTCGACACTGACATTATTCAAGGCGAATAATATTCAAATGACATTAAAAATATCACCTTCAGTACTTTTCTTTATAGCTACAGATAAGACTATGAGTGAAATGCCATTAGAAGTTTCACTCATAGAGATAGTGTTGAGAGAACAAAACATTATATATGTTATTCAACACCAATTTAGTTTAATGTGTAAGGAATTCAATTCACAGCAAATATTTGGGAGTATTTTCACTTCTTGGTAGAATAAGATTATTTCTTTTCTGGAGAATAAGTATGCTAGCAACGTTTTTCAGTAACAACTCAAGAAGAAAGAAATAAATCTGTTTTGTCCTGAATGTTGTATATCACTTATTTCGACTTATCTTCTAGGCAGGACTGTTGTGTCAAAGCATGCTGATCGTCGTGGCATAATGTTATTCTGAGAATTCTGTGCATAAAGTAGTTTTCACATGCCACAGTACATATTTGGAGCACTGTCCTCGATGAAATAGACTAAATGTGCGAAACCGTAAGCAATGTTTATATCACCAGGATGTAAAATATCATAAGTTGTTCTACAATAATCGCACAACATCTGGTTTATTAAAAATCTTATGACGTTGATCAGACGATTTTCTTAACCGTTTGGCATAACACCAACATACTTACTAACTGATGGCACGTTTTACAGACGTCTGATAATTATGCCTTGTCAAACAAACTGACGAAATGGAACATCAGAAAACCCAGAATATGTTGCTTTTGTAATATGAATCGTGGAACAGAAAGAAGACAGATATCCTCCCGGTTTACTGTCACTCAGGTTTCAGGGCTTGCATTTACTGCCTCAACCAGTATCAGAACTATATAGGATCATGCGATCAAAATTCATTGAACTGAATCCTCAAACCACCTATTATTTCAGACAGGACAATATTTATTTCTAAGGCTAATCCCGAATATAATTTTCCGAGTAAAATATCAGGTAGTTATTTTCAAAATGTACTACTGAAAATTAGTTTATTATGTGTCTTATCACCAAGGTGTACTGAACTTTTGTTCTGTCCCAGATTGAGACTGTTCGGAAGTGGCCGAACCTGAGATGGGACCCAGAACCTCAAAGTTGCTAGGCAAGTCTGTTGACCTTCAGTGTCAGAATAGTCTGGTGTAGAATGCCAGATTCCACTGTGATTAAGCGATATCATCTGCGAAACACTGTTTGAAAATAGCTTTATTTATAAGCTATCATGAAGCTAATATTCATTTATCTAGCCTAGTGAATATTTTTCGTCTTAAATACTTGGACTAGTGAATAATAAACCAATGCAATGCGATAATTAACTTTAATGAATATGTTTGCCTAAATGAAGCTTATTCAAGTTCGTGAACTTTAACAATAGTCGTTAAGAGTATTCATATATAATGATTTATTAACACGAGAGCAGGTGAACGTAATAAGTGATGACACAACCAAAACACTTAAAAAGTAGGAGAACGAACATAATACCAACTCTCTAAGTTCTACATCTTCACATTCAAAGGAACCTTGAAATCACGACACCATAAACTAAAACACCTGACCAGCATTCTTATCATACTTAAAGGGGCTATGAGTACTTTAAATGAACTGTCGTCAAGATTTGACAGAATAGTTCTAAAATATTTGGGCACCAAGTGAGAAGTAGACATTTGTAAAAAAAAATTATATTTGTAAAATCTCAGACAGATTGAAATGAGTAATTCCAACGTTTCGTTCGGCAATCTGGTCCGTTCTCTGCAACAGAATGCATATCCTAAATCCGTAGCTGTCGAGTCACCTGACAACTCCAGTAGGTCGAATGAAGCAGCTCAATCTTCAGAAAGAAGACAGATCAATAAGTTCGACAGGGTGCTTCAACTAAACTCTAATCCTAAACACCATAATTTTGAAAATACGTCTAATCATAAAATTCTAGATACTAATAGTGTGAACTGACATGATGTTAGCTGATGCCTAGGAAGTCCTGATTAATGGATATGTATCACTAACTAATAATACTTGGTCAAGGTTCTCGACTATTCATATCTTCTTATGGAAACGTTAAGAAATGTTTTATAGCTGTTTACCCACACACACATACGCCCTGTGTTTAAAGTGTTTAACAAAAGTAGACCAATATTCGTAATTCTGAAGTCAAATTTTCATCACAGCTCATATAATTTTGTTTATTATACTTGTTGATACTTGTTCTATGAATCATGATTGGATAAAGTTTTTAAAAACAAGAGATGTTCTTTTTATATATACATATATACCTCTGTTATGTTAATTTCGATTAATTTCCCTGAAGAAGTTCGGACCAGATTGCCGTACGAAACGTTGGAATTACTAATTTTAAATATAATTTTTACAAAGGGCTGAGTACTCTGGTTCCAAATAACTTCATTCTCATTTATTCATATGTTGGAGTATACAGGGTCAACTGTTCACGAAATGACAAAATATAAAAATAAAAAATTAAGTCGTTACGTTGTCTATAATAAAATGAAAAACCGATAAGACTTTTGTTTACTTTCACCTGCAATCACAGTAGAAGATTCTATTTTTCTAATGGTTTTTCTGCAAAATGGATAAAATTATGACTGCCAATCCCAGTGACACAAAAAGTTTATTGATTAGATTATTTTCTGCCTCAAAAGTAAATAAAATGCGAAAAAATATGATTACCCCAATAATAAATATGCATGATGAGAAAATTTACTTACGGAACAGTGTGATACATGTTCAGACCATGCTTTCAAATAACTTAATAGTCTTGGATATAATGTCCCGTTCAATACATCGAGAACATCACACATGCGATAATAATCAGGATAGCCCAACAAATGAGCTGGTTCAACAAGCTTTAGCAAAAGAAAATAAGCAAAATATTTTCAATACACTACGAATGTACCTGAAAAAGTAATATTGAAAAATTAAAAATAGATTAAAATTTTATTAACTAAAGAAGACGTATTAAAAAAGCTGATGTTATATAAGACCAGAGTATCTAGGCTCATACTGTGAACAATAAAAGTGAATTAAGGACTGTCTGCATGAGAGACTCAAATATCCCTATCTAAGGAAAGAAAAAGGAACTAGTGAAAAGTCTTCCATTTTCAATCGATTCAAAAAAAAACAGTATTACATAGACTGGACACTAATAAGTAACTAGTTTAACGTGCTTAGTACCTTGTTTGGTGCAGACTGAATTACATTGTCAGTCAAGTTTCCAGTGACACTGGTTACCAACTAGTGTTTGATCTAAGTATCAAATACAGTCAGTCTTACAGGTGGTCAGTCACGAGCACGAACAGCTCAGTGGTCGCGTGTCTGACTGCAGCATTGCGTGATGTGGGTTCGAATCTCAGAAAGGATATGAGTTCCTTCAAGGTTGTAGACACGCCCTGCTGATTGGTTAGTGTCAACAAGTAAAAGCATAGGTTTTAAGGCTTCTTGCCAATCGCCTTCAACCATCTAAGATGGTATTACTTTGATTGTTTGTATGGTAGGACTGTCATAGATCATATGAAGTACTTTAAAAAATAAAAAATAACAGACAAGCAAAATAAAAAATCTTCTTGAGAATAAGCATTCAGTTGTATAGCTCATTTACTATATTCTGTGGAGGTATATAATCGTTTATGTGGTTAATGGTCACATATATTATGGTTTAAACATATTTGAGAGAAGTTGTTCTGCAATGAACGTAAAGAACAGCCATTTTGTCAGCTTACTGTCTAACATTAATTTCACAAGCTAAAAAGTATCAGTACTGATTAGTAAATACGATAAGAAGCTCATCTTTTAGCAGTGACTAGGAAAAGTCTTCAGCACTTAAGAGAAATATTAAATAAGTATAAGACATTTAAAAGACAAAAGAAAATTTAGGCAAAGAATACTCTTTTCGATAATATCCTATTCTGGCACTATATATATATATATATATATATATATAAACACAGAATATTCTAGAATAATCGTCAATAAAAATACTGGTATTTTTAAAATACTGTCGATATGTTGAGATAAGTGAAAGATACATAAGTCATAATAAGCACCAAAATGTAATAGTGAATAGAATATCAGATAAAATTAGGGAAATCTCTACAACAAATTAAAGATCATTAATACCATGATGGTCAAGTTAAGGAAAGCGTCTAAACCAATTTCATCTCGGATACATACATTAGGCTTCTTATTGTAGCACCACTGAATACTCTTTTTTTTACCCCATCACTTAGGCATTGTGTTAATATCTCACTGATGTTATCCCTGAGGATGTAAAGTTGTAAGAATAAGGCCTTTTTCGGAAATGAAGGTAGTTTGGCTTGCCTTGACTTCTGATTCATGTTCGCATCTGTAAGTTTCTCACTCATCAACTTTTTAATAATATTAAGATCTTCACTAAGGAATTCATCAGATTAGACTGCTGTTGCTATGTGTATCAAGCATTTTATTAGACTGCGTTTTTATTCCGAAAAAGTAAGCATACTGACCAGTTGATTTTGGTCTTCTATATACACGTCTTCTTAGATATGATACAGAAGATTTGTAGCTTAGGTGGATGAAGCATGCGCTGAAGATGTCACCCAGTAAGGTGTTGAAAGCTTCGCAAATTAACCATCCAGCTCAGAGAACAAAACCACATCAAAAACACGTCCTCTTACTGTACCGTCCTCTTTTCTTATCATAAAAAAGTCTAGGACTGAAACACTAGAGTCGCTTTCTTTGTCGATAGTAAAATTTATTACACTGTTACATTTGTCAAAGATTTGTTTTCGTTCCATCATCATTTTCCATCACCAAAAATGTATCATACATGTAACGACAGTAGAATTCTAGTTCATCAATCACAACTTTCAAAGGCCAATTCTATAGTTTTACAGGGAAAATGTCGGCTAGAATGGGTCCTAGTAGTGACCTTTTTTCACACCATGAATTCATCTGTTTTCTTTCTTATTAAATAAAAAGTGAACATTCATTGTGCATTTCATATGAATCTCTTCTATAAAACATATAGGAATGCTGACATCGATGTTTCGTGTAATAAGTTCTTCGCAAACAATGTCTAAAATTTCCATAAGTGGTACTCTGGTGAGCAGGGAACATACGTCAGATGACATCATGAATTTATTGGCAACATTTAAACCTTCATCCTTTATCATTGAATTGAATTTTAGACTTTCCCGTAGATTGATTGAACCGAAGTGCTCGGTCCCACCGAGCCTCGGTGGGAACATCATCACTCACTGGGGAATGCAGGCACATCCGTTGATGAGCCCCAAATAAGACGAAATGTGCATCCTGGATCCCGCTGCTGGTCACAATCCACCAATTAACTTCATCCTTTACCCAATAAACAACTTCAGAGGTGCCTTTTACTCTGTGTTTCACTAATTTAAAATACAGAGGCTTTAAAACCTTGTCTAACCATTTGGCTATGGGATGGTATGTTGAGTTTAGCAAGTCTAGTACTGGTCGAAGTGATAAACAATTTTTGTACACTTTCGGCGAACCATATAATCTTGATGCGAACGTCCAAGTGGGTTTCAGTGATGTATACTGAATTTGTGAGATAAAGCCTTGTTGTTTCAATCTTCTCAATGTTTCAGCTAACTGTTTATCTAACGTTTTAGTCGCACCCACCTTGATTTTAAGTTCGCGCTGAAGATGTTACTTAGTAAGAAAACGAAAGCTTTGGATCAGAGAACACAACCTGATCCATAAATCGTCTCTATCATATCTAACAAAGTTCTCCCATAAATCTGTTTACCTGAAAGCCACAAAGTGGACTAGTTGAAAAAAGACCAAAAGTCATACTTTAACCGGTATTCTGTAAAGATAGTAAAAGTGGCGTCATTTATGCTTTCTCCCAGGGTTCTAAAAATTTCTTACAAACTTATCACTTTATATATTTTTGTCTAATTATTTCAATATTGATCACATTCTTGACTTCATTAAAGTATGTTATACAGATTTATAATAAAGAATGTCATTTAGAGAATATACAACGTTTGCAGAAACTTTACACTACTAAGCAACCTTTTAAAAAACTAAGGAAATTTTTCCCCGTTTTTAGAATGTTGATGTCAGAAGTGGAACACAGCAAGAAAGTTACAATTAGAGTAGAGAGATACCTGAATTACACATCCCTAAATACTGTCTGATATTAATAAACAGTCAGAATGCAGCTTAATTTTTCCCTCTATTGTCATGGTTAATGCATCAGTATTATTTGTCACATATCCTAAACAAACAGTACCCTTTTATAATTTGAAAGTAAATAACACAAAGCAGAAGTCAAGGACAAAATATGCATTGCATTTATGTGACAAAAAAGTGAATTCTGGTCAAAAACCGGTTTAACTGCTTTTACAAATCTAGCTAGTACTGAAATTGCATTGATGATGTTAATTCAGTCTACAACTTCACGACAAGAATTAAAACCCTACTGTTATAAGTAACAATTTGTCAATGTGTATTAAACTAACCTCTGAAGTAGCCTTCAATGAAGACGCCTCGGGACATAATAAAGTGTAACGTAGTAAGTTATGCAGTTTACTACGAACTTCATAAACTTGAGCAGCCTCTAGATTCTCACGATGCCAGTAAGATGGGACTCTCAATACAACAGAATCCCACATAACTCTCATCTTAATATAGATTGATCGGCTTACCTGCAAAAAAAAAAAAACAAGAACAGTTGTTTACAGAATTTCAACACTTTATGAGAAATTGTTGTTGTTGTTACTTTTTCACTATATCAGCAAATAATTGAAGTTATGACAGTATAATTTCATTAAAGAATATTGAGATACCTTTTACTTCAGTGAGCTGTATTCAATACTGAATATGCTGGCTGATGTTACTTGATCAATTTTTACATTGTAGCCATGAGGTTTATCGGTTAGATAGAGAATTGAAATTTGATGATCTGGACATCTATGCGAATCTCAGTATTATCATTATTCTCTCAGTGGTAAAATATGTAAAAATATATAAATGCATATAATTATAAGTCAAATCATGCCACTAAAATCCTAAAAACTAGGTGTATTAATGAAAATGGAACTATTTTGTTGTTCTTAAATAAGTATTCCCCTGAATAGTGACCTACATTCAACTATGATATCAGGTGTATATAAGATATTTAGGTGTTTATTTATACCAGTTATTTAGACTAACCAGCTTTGGTTATAATTCAAATCCTCATACTTGAATGTATGCGTCGATGGTCCTGTGGTAAAATACTCGCCAAACACCCATGTGGTTCAGGGCTCGACATCCGGCCGATATACTCCTAAACCTCGCTGAGCCGGTAGTAAGTCTACTAAATAGGAAAGGTTGGATATCAAATAGAGGATATCAACTTTACCCTGTGAAAATGTGAAAACCTGAAACTTTAAAGTTCACGCCTGGTGCTCCATGCGGTACTCGGAGTTAAATGTGCCTCCACAAAGTCATTCACAATGTTTACCCCTATTTACCGCTCAGCATATATCTACATTAAAATGAATATCATAGTTTGGTAATAGTGGAAAATGTTATCAATACACAAAATTAGAACTTTGAGAACACTGAAATCAATTTTGAAAAACTGAATAAATTAAAGTGAAATAACTTTCTTCAGTTTCACGGTCTAGCAAAACAGTATTTAAATACGGAACTAATATAAGCATACGGACGAATGACTTTTAAAAAATATATAGAAACAGCTGTTTGCCTTTTCAAGGTTTGTCACTAACTAAATTTCAAGTAAGATACTTCTTAATATAACTGATGGATTCAATTAAAGCAATAATCACTGGTATTCGAAATGCATAAAGCAAGAATACCCAACTGAAAAAGACTTCTGCTTTAAATACGGATAAACTTACAGGTTGTTTAGATTTATCATTCAAAAGGAAGATTGAACCCGGTATATACCAGACATCATTCCAATGACAACGTTCACAATAATATTTTCCAGTCATATGACAAATACGCATAGCTGTTGCTTCAGGAACACTGGTTGTCTCACTAAACTGGTGATGTGAACGAACTCGTCGTAAGTGTGAAATGACTTTCTGCTTTTTTGTTGATTTGGGATTATTACTTGAAGATTCATTCAAATCACCTAAGGTTTTATCGGGTACAAGTTCATGTCCACTACGTGCGTCTAAAATACGTCCACATTCAAAACATTTATTAGACTGAAGACCAGGGAGACCAGATAGAAATACAGCTTCTAAATCGATTGATGGTTTTTCCTCGAATTTAATCGAATAATTTCCTGAGCAGTAATGAAAATAAAATTTATTAAATTATATTGAGCTTAGTTGTTGAAGAAGAGGAATTGGCGTGATGCAACAAACACATACATAGATTTGTTCTGCAGTTATTCAGATACACGTCAGCAATGTGTCCATGGTTATACGTCAAGTAAATTGGTACACATGGTCAAACTGTTTAAATATCACCATTCACAACTTTTGTGGGAGGTTACTTTAAAAACCTTCTTGCAAAAATAAAGAAAGAGACCAAGTTTCAAGAATTATTACACAATTACAACTTCAAATAAACGTTAGAGAAAAATGAACTAGGTTGCTCCTAACCATAGGCTTTTAACTGTTGAGTGTATCCCTGACTTCTCCTTTCCAGCTGAAAATAATGTTACTTTTCTTCAAATAACATTCTGAAGAAACGTGGTAAACTGAAGTAACATTTTCAGATATCGCTACTTCCAGACTATCTATTCTGAGTGGTTCTTGATTACTTCATCATCCTGAAGGACTATCTTTTAAAACTAATTAGAATGTAGTTAAACATCACCTAGTTTATTAGAAAGACAGGGAAGATTGAGCGCAGGACTAGTAACCTTACCTATATAAATCAACCCAAACGCCAAAAAATACTTCAAAACACAGGAAAAGTGTAAAACAAATAAACTTATTCTTCGCTGCAATCGAAGAGACGAAATGATAAAAGCTGCTGAAAGCCTTTAGGTAGCTAGTTAGTTGATGCGTTTTCTTTCATTGAAAGCAAAAATAAGCATGAGGACATAGAATATCTGCAAGATGTTTGAAAGTGGTTGGCCGAATTGCCAAAGAGATGATAAGATATAGTACAGAAGTGTTAAGAATCTGTGAGAGCAGATGGAGTGGAAGTGGTCTGCACAAGCTAGAGAGTCAGTAATCATAGACGGATGCTTTCGCTGGATACTGAGGATCAGATGGCCAGAAAGTACTAGCTGCAAGGAACTCTGGGAAGGAATCGACCTATAGCCTACCGCTCAACAAATAAGCAAGAGGAGGCGGACTGAACACACGCTCGGGGAACAGCTAAGTGACATAAAATTCCAGGCCCCCGAGTATAACCTGAGTCAAAAACGACCAGAGCGATATGGATGACATCTCGTTAACAATCGCAAAGCTATCTAAAGGAGACTATATTAAACAGAGTGGGGTGGAGATGTGCTGTTGAGGACTTTTATTCTACTAACAATCCAAGAGTATAATAAGAACAATAATCGAATCCAGTCGTCCATTTTGGACTTAATCGCCCTTCATATTTTTCAGTTAAGAGCTGATCACCAATTAAAATAATTTTCATACAAACGGCAGAAACTATTGGTTTCTTTACCACATCATTATTATTAAAACCAGACTTGCAAACGGATTATATTAGACCTAAACAGTGTACCTTTTAAGACATGTTAAGTTCAAATTTTAAACAATTCACTTTAGCCTAATGTGATTAGAATAATGAGTGTTTATAGGTTCCGCCTTTATCCCACAGGAATATTTTGGACAAATACTTGATTTAAATAGCATAAGAGAAATCAACATTTTAACAGTTGCATAAATTAGAAATGAACCCCAGCAGAAATCAATCAAAACTTAAAAATTAGAAACATATTGCATTCTTATAAAATGGGTATCAAACTTCCAATGATCTTTTATATTTCCACTAAAACCGATATGAGTTTATTAATTCGGAATATACATAAACTAGTATGCAGTGGTGGCTTTAAAGTTCGGACAACAGTCTTTTATCACACCATACAACTCTGAGTAGAAAAAAATAAAAAGCATTATTTAACATGTCTTTTTTGAAGCTTTTTATTGACAAAAAGAAAGATAAAAAGATGCCAACTCGAGAAGAAAACAGTGAATAAGGTCAAAGGTACGTGCAGAATAGATAGATCGTATTGATGTAACAAAGTTTAATGTCCTCTCTTATATGCTAATAAGTGTATGATCATTTGTTTCGCTTCACTTCTTCACTTTGTATAATATGTACCACACTAGATATCTGTCATTATTTATCAAAAATTTTAAAACTCTTCATATCAATAAACGATTTCATGAAGTTTTGATGAAATTTTAATTGTAAATTAAAACACTTAAGCTATGGATGTTTCTTTTAAAAAAAATTGTTGTTTACTAACTATTTCTTTTTGTTTATTATTATTTTTTCTATGAATGAACTTATTTTACAAGTTTACAAAGTTGTTTAATAGATTTACCTTTAAATGCATTCAAACTGAAAGAATAACTATGATCATGCCCTCCTAATTTCATTGGGTAGATATACTGAACATTATTAGTCCATTATTTTATGCGTGTACAGCGTCTTGAATAATATGGTAAGAGAATGATGACCCACCCTTACGGTTCACAATGTGAAATGGTGCCAACAGAAATTTTACTTGGATGTCCGGTGACCTTTTTTTTTTCTTTTTAACTGACCATGTGAATATCTGAGACACTAATAGATCGCCACACTGTTATTGACGTAATCACAGATGGCTGAAGGTGATTTGAAATTTTGATTTGCCATAGGCGTTCAAACAGCAAACCTCTGACCTGTTGGTATGGGATAGGACCAAGTGAGATGTGACACACTTCTGCTGACCCGGGGTTGAATATTAGACGTTAAACTGCGAGACTGGTAAACAAGATATGGAGTTAAGATCTCATCGTCAACCAGATTATCAATTCGTCTTCATTTATCACCCATTACTATACTGTACAACCAATGAAAACTTTTCGGTTTTGAATTCTCCTATTGACTAAACTGTATGGAACTGTTTGTACCACGTTCGTGGTATGCAATACCTATTTACGTTTTCATCAGAGAATAAAACTCTTAAATTTTTAAATAATAATGCTGAACTCAAAGAAATATTAGCCTAAAATCTTTCAGGATATTTAGAACCCACTATTCAGACGGATTTTGCATTACATGTCATTGTAGAGGATGTTTGTCACAAACGACATCATTCAAACATGAGAATTTGCATGTCATGCTTGTTTTTTTTTTAATTTCTGCTTACAGGATCAAACAACTTTTTGTTTTAAATTTGTTTGTTTTTTTAACAGTATTCAGTCTATAAGCAATGATGTAATTAGTAAAATAATTAACTGGAACGCTGGAAGAAATGCACAGCGGTTGTTCACGAACTGAGAGGAACCTCAAAATGTCCCCGGTGAAGACAATAATTCAAAAGTATTTGTGTTAAGGGAAGGTTAACTCTTCAGAAGGATAAAATACTTCGACTAGACCTCCAAAACAAGTCAAGGAAACTGAAAAATTTTCAAGTATTGGTTTTGAAGGAATTTTGTTTGATTGGATGTAGGACTTCATCATGAGGTGACATTATTTAGAGGACCACTGGAAAACCTGGGAGTACTGAACAGCTGTGGTTTTTCAGTGGTCCTCTAACTGATGTCAGCGCATGATGAAATCCCCATCCAATCAAACTAAATCCCTACAAAACCAATACTTGAAAATTAATCTGATGCTCACTAGCGACTGACCCCATTCAGGCAGTGACCTGGGGTTCTAGTGGGAAGCCATGACCAGTAGGGTACAGCAGGTCGAAGGTAAGGCAGTAAATCATCCGAGAAGACAATGCGAAGTGGTCGCGCTATGTCGTGAATTGTCAGAAGTTAGAATTCATGGGCTGGCCATTGGATCATGTCCCAGTGGCTCAATGGTCTACAACCTCGCCTTATAACCAGGAGGTCCTGTCTTCGACCTGTAGTGGTGTTTTGAAAAGCACTTCAGCACTCCCAGGTCTTCCAATGGTTCTCTAACCAATGTCAGCTCATGATGAAATCCTACATCAAACTCATCTATCCAAAAAGGAAAGAAACTGTTAAGGTTGGCACATTGCCATGTGATTTTTTAAAGTAATTAGCCTAATATATGTAGAAAACGCTAATGGTGATCACGTAAATGTCTAAGTGAATGGATTTCATAGAATTCTTAGGCCTTCACTGTTTTTTAAGTGACTGTGTGGTTTCAAATGCCAAGCTTATCCATGTCTACTTAAAATTCCCACTCAAAGTTCTCCTCCTTTGCTTGTTAACATTTCTGACATTTTGATTTCCCTCTTCTTGGTGCTGTAGGCATTTAGTATTTTTCATACGTATCGGTAGTTTTATTTCTTATTAGTTCAATATCTTATACGCCTCCAATATATTTATCAAGGTTATTATTAAGCGTCAAGACTTATACTGGTTTGAACTTACAAATTTTAGCATCCCAACTAACCTCCTAACATTAAAAGCTTTCATTTGTGACTTCCAAATTAATAATAAATTAGACCATTACTGTTATTCGTTTGTTTTTAAAATAATAGAGATTTATAGCTCAGGTGTAATTTTGTGGTACATGGGCGTCTCCCATTGAATTTACACGTTGAAAAATATGCATATATTTCTTTGTCTTTTATACTGTCAACGTGTTATCTGCATATCTTCACCATACCTTATAGGTGGGCTGAACTTTACAAGAGCTATTTTCTTCCATTTGTGCATAAAAATTTGTCCAAGCTGAGAATATCTGAAACTCCCTAACTTTGTTTGCATATGATTCTTCGAAACTTCAATAGTGTAGAAGTCATATGTAGCTGCAAATTAACCTCTTGTTTTAATACCTCAATTCTACATTCGCTTTCTTGCTCAGTAGTAAAAAAAGGTTTTGATGAATTGGTCCAGGTAGACTTTTGATAATTAGTACCATCTGTAAAGTGAGAAATAAACACCCTAAATTTTAGGTGGTTGAAGTGTTCAATATTTTATTGATGTTTCTTCTTTTCAAGGGCACTGGATTTCCTAGTACACCATCTAAATTTACCAATCATCACTGAAGAATAGACTGGCCATTAAGGAACTTTTGACCAATGTACAGTGTTATCTGATTTTATCTTACGGCAATAAAAAAGACGAAGACGTAGAAAGGACTCTGAGTAATTCACTAAATGTGGAAATATAAGGCTGAGTC